CCCCCCCCCCCCCGACATGTTAAACCCAGCTGGAGCCAAACCGTGTGTGCCAAGACTTTTAGCCTCGAGCCCAGGGGTGACTGCAGTATGGGGAAACACAGCACCCTCCCCCTCTCCCAGCAGCCTGATCCGTGCAGGAGGCCGTGAGCTTGGAAAGACTGCCAGCCAGCAACACTACACCCCAGGCAGAAAATGCAGTCTATGCAAGGAATTCGGCCTTCTGAAACAGGCTTGCAGCTCTCTCCCACAGCGCTTTGCCCCCAGACTCTCCGTGTGCTCATCCCCTTTGTATCTTTTACAATTACTAGTAGGTATTTCTAAGATGGGGGCAACTTTGGGCCCCACTGAGATCATGTACACTGCCCAGACGACCTGTCTCTGAACGGCTCACCTCTGAACAGGCCTGGGGGGTGGAAGGGAAACACGCACAGAAAGCCATGGGAGCGATTTGCCACGGCCCCACAGTGCGGTGGAGGCAGAGCCAGAACTGGCTGCATGGCCATATGGCAGCACAGGACCTGTGCTGCTCAGCAAATCCATACAGGGCTTGCTCCTGCCTCTTCACAGACACCAGTTCTCCACGTACTCGCAACATAATCTGGAAGTCCTATCTGCGGATGGTCCAGATCATTTCATTCCACATAATAAATAGCATAAAATCCATAAAATAAATCCTTAAAATAAAAGTAAATCACAGTCTGCCTTTCCTCAAATCCCAGACACTGTGCTGAGAAGAGACCTTCTCTGTGTGGAGAGCGGATCACGAGAGCCCATGTGCGTTGATTCCTGCTGTGGCCTGTCCCTCCAGGTGCAATAACACATCAAACCTCTCCTGCACTTGCTGCCAGCAGCCACCCAACCCAATACAGGCCCATTCCCTCCAGGCACAGCAAACGTCTTCATCTGACAGTCACAATTACTGTAATTTTCTAGAACCGCCCTCGCACAAAATGTTTAAGCTAAATTAACAGCTTTAACAAATCTTCACAAATGTAGTTATTAACTGGTAGAAAGCTATACCTTCCCACAACTAAAATAACACCACTGGTATTTCCACGTGGGAGCATGCAGGGCTCAGAGAAACCCACAAACCTAATTCATCAGCCTGAGCAGCTGTTCACTTAACAGGCATGCTCACACCAAAAGCAGTCACAGACTCGCTCCTCCTTGTCTGCCATGGCCACCACTGCCACGAAGTGTGGATGGCTGACCATGGATGAATCCCCAGCCTGGGGAAGGAAACATGCTGCGGGTCAGAAGCACAGGCTGATGGCAGGGATAACGTATCCCACCTGCTGAACAGGTTTTCGTCTACTGGCCTGTACTGATCAGCAGTGCCCAGGGCAATCAGCACAAAGAGTAACTCCAGCCTTGGATATACTACTGTATTCAGCAGCAGGGGGAAAAAAAAAAAAAAAAGGCCTTTACAATTCTCATTTGCACCAGCTGAATGCTAATGTAGCAAATGCTTCTGCCCAACCCACAAAACAAATTGAAGCAAGAGATGCATTTCATTAATCAATTCCCTCGCTGCTCTCCATTCAGAAATGAATATGTTATGTCAGGTGCACATGTGTGCCACAGAAGCAGCGCTTTCCCTGTGCAGATGGTAATAAAAGGAGATGTGAGTACACTCAAGGAGAGAGTTCACCTGAAACTCCATTTCTAGGAAAAACCCAGAATGGGATGGAGAGACACGTCACCTATGTATACTGCTCTGGAAAAATCCAGGGGGAGGGAAGGGCGATTTAAATCACTCATCTATACATTTTGTCAAGGCACAAACCATTGCTATCAGGCAAGAGACATGGTGCAAATTTCAACAAAAGTTACCCCTAAAAGGGAATATATCCTAATTGAGGGTGGTTGGGATTGCGGCAAGAGCAGCTGAATAAATCCTCCTGGATTAATGATGCCTTTTCTACTCCAGGTCTCACAACTCCCCTGATGATATCTGTGTGTAGGATCCCTGACTCCATCTTCACAGCCCTCAGGGGTCCCTTAACCCTAACAAAATACTGGAACCAGCTATTTATCTGGCACTACAAATCACTGAAAGGAGGGAGCATGAGGCATGGGTGACCATCAATCTATGGGTACTGCTGCTAAACATTTTCTGAGCAGAAAAGGGGACATGTTGCAAAGTCAAAGGTATTCCCCTGATCTGGCAAAAGTTTCACCTGCCATCAGGAGTGCTGGTTTCTACAGCAAGCACAGTGCTCACAGCCTGAAGCACATGCACGAGTCAAACCTGGACTGCCCTGCCTGGGGTACCAGAGATAAATACATCCCCAGTGTACAGTGGGAGTTAGGACATCCACTCTGCATCCTCACCTACCACAGCTCTGAGCAAGTGCGAAAGCACCTCAGCCCTGATGGTGTGCTGTGCAGCTGCATCCATCAACACCTACAGAAGTCACTGTACTAGAGAGGTGTTACTGTATTTGCATTATTTTCTAACCTCATCTGTTTGGTACGTCAAGGAATCATTTACTGGCATTCACACATTTAATATAGTTCCAGAAGCCATTCCTGAATACAAAGGAATTTTATTCTTGAATACTGCCCAACAATTCAGTGGTTCAGATGTTGGAGTCTCTCAAAGATCAAAACAAAAAAGAACCTGAAGAGCCCTTTCTTTCATCTCTTCCATTATAAAGAGCTACTCACCTCACAAGACAGTCCCTCACACCCAGTGGCGGCCCACACTATGTGTCACGTAGACAACCATCCACCCCAGCCTCCACACTGCTCTTCACTGACTGGAGTTTCCCCTGGAGTTCAGAGATTTACACCATGTTGACATGGGGTAAATTCTCCTGTTGGGAACATCTCAGCAAACCCAGTGGCACCTACTGCATTCATCACCTACTGAGAGAGCTACAGCTGCTTGGCTCTGCCTTGGTCTCAACATGCCTTGGTCAGCACCAAACTCCCCAAGTCTCCTCCATGTTCCTCCCCAAACTGTGCTGTCTGTTCACCAGGGAACCCAGAAGAGACCAACGGTGACCCAGAGGCAGCTGAGCAGATGTGCAGAGCCAAATCCAGTGTGTGAGACCTAGTGCTGCCATTCTCTCTACTCAGGGCTCTGACCTCCTCCCTGCAGTTCTCCAGTTGAACTTGGTCTCAGTTCCTTGCAGGAGAGCTTTTCCAAGTCCTTACCAGACCAGGCCACCCTGTAACAGCAGAACAGGCTGGAAAGTATCTGATCAGCTTCTCATCTGAATTGCTCACAGCTCCTCAGGCCCAGCACCAAGAACTGGGACTACATGAGGGGAACCCTCAGATTAGCAAAAAGGTGTCAGAAGAGGTTACCCTGCCCTGCTTGCCCATTTCAGTTCAAACTCCCCCTTCTGCAGTTTTGACACTGCCAACACCACTCAAATGCACCATTAGAAACAAGAACAAGAGAAGCATCAGAGAGAAGAGGCAGCCATGAGGCCAGAAGCTCTGGGTCCTGTCTAGCCATTGCACAATGATAATGGTAGAAGGCTGCCAGGGAGCACAAATCTAATGCCATGGTCTAGCTTGGTCTCTGTGGGAGTGGAGGATCTCATTATAGGTATTTCAGACCATGCTGATGCACAAAGATTTCCTTATCCAGAAGCCCTGAGCACACTGCTCTCTCCTGCTGCATAATGCAGCTGAAAAGCAGGGTGATGGACACATACTGGGACATGCTTACTGGCACTGAAGCATTGTAAAACCATTTTGGCTTACCTGCTTTCCTCCCACACCTGGTATCATCAGCACTGTGCTTTAAGAGAGCATGCTTGGGAACTGAAATTCAGCACATCTGTCCCCACTGGGATCCTGGTACCTTCCCTGGCTCCACCAGGCACACAGCGAGCCTCAACACTCCTGCTCACTGCAGTCACCAGCCTGGGCTCTCATCAGATAAGTTGTTTTACTGAAGATTAAACTCCTGCTCTTCTGCCACTCACTGCGCTAAAGGCAGAGCTAAGCTTTCACAAACAAAAGCCATCAGAAGGGAAGACATCCAACATCCCGTCCATCAGGACCATCAGAGAACAGAAGATGAAAGACCCCAAGGCCTCCCTTGGTGCATCAGTTCCCAGCTATGTTCAGAGTCTTTATCATTTTCATAATGCCATACTGAGACACACTAAAGCCATCAAAGTCACCAGACGTTCCAAATGCGGAGAGCAGTAGGTGCCACTAGAAGCCTGCTAAGTTCTAAGCCAGCTACTGAGAGCAGAGACAAAGGGGAACTTAGACCACCTGAGTAGACCCTGGCTTGTTTCCAGTGCTTTTTGCCCCTCAAGTGACCACCCACATCCACCTGACTGTCTCTCAGTGATTAACTCTCTTTATCAGTGTACCCACACTCTTCACTCAGGGCAGATCCTGATCTGGACAGAGTTGCAGGGCACCCACTGCCACTTCTGGGATGTGGACAGAAGAAAGAGCTCAGCACAGTCGAGCTGGGAGCACACAACACATCAATCAAGTGGCCCCATCGCAAACACAGCCAGTCCTTCCAGCTGTCCCCACAAAAGTAATGCAGGTGCATTCCTGCACACACTATCCAGAGGTGACTCTTGCAGAAGAAAGGCAATGGGAGTTTCCTCCCAACCCCTTCCCCATCATCCAGCCCCTTAGCTTCAGCCAGCACTCACAGATTTAGGGCAGTGCTCCTTATCTATGTCACTGTGGCAACAAGCCCTTCATAGGCTTGGTAAGGAGAGCCAGAGCTGTCACAGCCAGACTCCACAATCACCTCCTCAGGCAGAGGGCGCTGCACTTGGGGCTGCGAAGTGTTGAGCTCTCTGCAAAAACAAGCACTGTCTTCTGGAGAGGGAGGAGGATCCTGTTTTTAATTCATGGCTGATGGCACTTACCTGGGAGAGTTAAACATGATGTTAACAATGGGATAACAGAAAGACACCACTGCTTGTTTGGGGACTATCCCAAATCCCACCTACACATCATTCCACTTCATAGACACTTTATCTCAAACTCTCTGGGAGGCAGATGGCCTGTATAAACACCAGGAGGGGGAAAAATTAAAAAAAAACAAAACAACACTTACTTGAAAATCTGACTGCAGCCGTTTGACTGGTGATAGCCCCTAGGGAACTGTGAGACACGCAGGAGTAATTACCCTCAGCATCAGCCCTCTCAGGATATTTACTGTCCTTTGCCACGGCCTGGGATGAGATGAAGAGCGATCCATTTGGAAGCACATGGAGATGTTCCTGCTCCACTAATGGAAACCCATTCTTCTTCCACGTGATATTGATCACCTGCTCAACAGGGGACAGGTTACAGTCCAAAATCACGACTTGGTTTGGCTCCAGTATCACCTTTGCAGGACCAGCACTACAGCTCAGCTCCAGAGAATCCCCTTCCAACAGCCTCCCTGCAAAGAAAAGACAGTGTTGCAGTGGGAGTTGCTTTCCTTGGTTAATCACATCCTAGTTTTACACAACAAAGGAAGCACGGTTCTCCATGAGTGTGGCTGGGGTAATGTGAAATTCAGCCCTGTTAGGTGACCCATGACACCTGTGCTCAGCACTCTCCATCACACATCTCTAGGGCTGTACAACCTGCACAATTTCTGCCACTCCGCACTGTGCCCAACAGCCACCCATTCTGTCTGCACTGGCTTCTTCCATGTTGGATTCAATTAGAGAAGAACTGGAAAAAGGTGAAGTGATGACAAAAGCAAGAGCAGCAAGGGCCTCAACTGCCATGGCAGCCCATGACAAGCAAGGGCTCCCCCTCACCTGCACACCAGAGCCTCCTCCAAGGCTGATCAACCCCCATAAGACAACTAAGTGGAAGCAAAAGTATTCAAGCCCACCTTGGTACCTCAATGCCAATAGTCACAGCTTGGTTGGAGCACTTACCCCTCAGGGGGAACTGGCAGCAAGAGCACAAGCCCAGCTGGAAATCCATAAAGACAGTGTCTCCCACCAGTTCATGTACTGGGAAACACAGAAAAGACAACAAAAGAACGGCTAAAAATGTGACCTCTTGTCTCTGAGCCTTTTATCCCATATAGGTAAATCCAGAATGAGAATAGATGGATGCATCTGCCACAAAAGAAAAGGATATTCCAGCTGCAAGCAGACAGTACACAGAACGTGCCCTTAGGCAACCTGCCTCCTACAGCCAGAGGCCACAGCACTGACCAGCAGCAAGCTAAGCTGAACAGGTCTTGGTCTGGCCGATTTCCAAACCCACGGACTCGTAGGAGAGCTCCACCTCCGAAACAAGGCTCAGCATTTCCTGAAGAATATTGCCATTAATAAAATGCATTTGCTGTTAGAGTTCTCCAGAGACACTAAGTCAATGTTAGCTGGCAGCGCTGCTTCCACACACCAGCAGTTTCAATCTCTGCTGTGCTCAAACCATCACCATCCACTCTTTTTATGGCTCCACTCCAAATTATTCTGTCACTGCTCCAATCAGAAATGTTTCCTGCCTCTGTAACAAGTTTATCAACACTGGATATGAACCACATGGCTCCCTGCCCGTCTCCTATCGCAGAAGGCTACAGATTAATTTTATAGGAATTCAAACACCCTATTAAACCTGCTACTACCTACTGCTGATAAAAGGGCTGCATTTTAAAAGAGTGTGTGTTAAGCATGCAATTAGGGGCAATGACACGCAAAATTACACATGGAGAGATGGAATTATTTCAAGGCGTGTGCCGGAAACTGCAGGTGCCCCTGAGAGGAAGGGCCTAACCCTGACCACACGTGGGGCTGATTCGGTGCCCACCCAAGCCTGCGGGGATGGGAACTTGTCAGGTCTGTCATCATTGCCGGTTTGCAGAACAATCACCGAGAACTTGATATTGGCCAACTATGTCCCTTCAGTGACAGGAGGCTACATGAGAATCCCACCTGCCTGATGCCTGTTGATCAATATTATTATGGGACAGAATAGACCCTGCCCCAAACACTGTCATATTCATTAGAATGTCCAAGGGACAATCTCCCAGCCTCCAAAGCCAAGCCCAAGCAGGATGCAGAGATGCCCATTTCACACTATGTTACACAGCCTGCACCACAGCCAGGCAGCTACCACCAACATGGAGCAGCCTGCAAGTCTCTGGATTTAGGGTTTTCCCACACGGATGCTTCTACTGTGCTGCTAACTCAGTCTGCAGGAAGAAGGCACAGCGAGAAGCAGTAGACATCATCGAGCTCCCAACATGCACACAGTGAAACGTAATTTCTGGATTTGTCAGCCAGCACAGCCCTGGCAGGTTCCTTTCTGTCCAGTCCCCTCAGGTCAGGGAGCAAGCTGAGAAATGCCACTAGGCAGAGACTGTCACCAAATGTCTTCAAGGGCAATTCTGCCTGTTCGTGTCTCCTAGGAAAGATTAGTCGTTTGAGGATCACAGCAAGCTACAAAACTCACTCACTGGCTCCACAAGAGGCTGGAAGCAGGGGAACATGAAGCTGAAAGGCTGCCACAAATGCTCTGGAAAGACACTGCCACTGGACACCTTCCATCCAAGATAGCCAGTACAAAAAAACTGTATGAAATGGGGAGAAATTAAGCACAGAGCAAGTTACCACCAAGTAAATGTGCAGAAGGTGACATGGCCAAACACAGGTGACGGTTAACAGTCTGAGGCTGGGGAAAGCTCAGCTGAGCTGTCACTGCTGTGAGAACCCCATCCACGGAGGAGCAGCCACCCAGACGCTGCTCTGAAGGGAACTCCCCGTGGCAGCTGCTCCTGGCAGCGTGTCACACGGGGCTTAGTCAGCCTGTGTGTATATACCACCTCCAAGGAGGTAGGGCTGCTAAGGCAAGGGCTGAGGCATGTGATGCAGAGCTTATTTCAAAAGACGGTGAAACTTTGTTGGCTAAATTCTTAATCCTTTGCTTTTCCTTAAATTTGCTGTCTCAAGAAGCACAGGTAGACTGAGAGGACAAGGAATTAACTCATGTCACAAGTCAGTCCCCTTACCCAATGGCTCTAGCTTTCTCTTTACATCTTTCCTCTTGATTCCTCCTTTACACATCACCGCAGACACACATCTCAGACAGCTGGTGTTAAGCACGAGCATTATGAGCACTAATGCTGCCTGTGCCTACTCTTACACCCCTTCAACACCAATCCTACCACCAATCCTACCATAACGTAGCAGGGATGGGTGGGCACGGCCATGGGGAATCAGCTGGCTCTGCAAGCTGGACATCCCACATGCCCTCTGCCACCACACACACAGGCTGTCCTCCTGCCTCCATATCCTCCATGAGCTCCTGCTCCATTCCAGGCAGGCCTGTTCAACCCCTGGGGAAACAGCCCGTTTATCTGTCTTATTTTCTATTTTCTTCATACAGCACTTAAAATGGCATTTTGCTGAAAATACTCCTCCTCTTCAAAAGGTGAAGCGTGAGGGGACAGCGTCTGGCTCAGCCAGCCAGGAATAGAGCAGAGATCTGCAGAGCAGCTTCCCACACCAGCACAGGTCAGTAAGAAGCAATTATCAGCTTCTTAAACTTCAATCTCTTAAAAATCAACTCAACCTGCTTGCAGCAGAGTAAGAACAGACAGCTCCATACTCTATCACAGCAGAAAAAGTATTTGTTTTTTCAAAATACGTCATGATGTTTCTTTATCCCTAAATATCACCTAGCTCTTTTCCCCAAAGTCACAAGCTACCTGGATCCAAGCTTCTGGTCGGTATGTTAGAGAGAAAAGGGCCAGTTGCAAAACTCTGTGGGTGCAGAGCTCACCCACACCAAACCCAACAGCCTGGTTCAGGTCTCTCTCTGCTATACCAAGAGAGGAGAAACAATCATTGGAGGGAAATACATTTGAAGCCTGGACTTCACAGAAGCCCAGGAGCATGGTCGCCAAGGAATGCACTAACACCAGGAGCAAAGGATCCTCCACCAGCAGAGCGGTCTGCTCTATCACTGATATTTAGTGCACTTGCTCAGCTGGTGATGACACCATTTTGCTGGCTGTTGACAGGAGGAGGCTGCCTTCCTTCATGCTTTCATACCAATAAATGCACGATTGCACAATACCTTTAAAGAGCAATAGTCATTCCTTCCCTGCCAAACTGTTCCAACCACATAATCCACTCAGTAACAGCAGAAACCATTTAAAAGCAACCAACCTCCAGGGTATCAGTATGTTTCTACTTGCAAGGTTCTACTGCACCACCAAGCAATGCAGGCTCCATGTGACGACGGGAGCTCATGACCATACTCAAACCACTGCCCTTTATACCAGAAGCACCAAAAATATTTCTAGAGCAAGAAGCCACATAAAACCCCAGATGTACTCACAAATCTCAGGGCTCAAACTGAGCACCTGGCAGGAGACCATGACAAGGTCAAACACATGCGATAACCCATCACTGTCTGTCACTTAACACAGCCTGGGAAGGCTTCCAGCTGGGCAAATGAAGCCCCCAACTGACATCAGGCCACTCTGACCTGTCCCAAATCATCCAGTTTCCTTCCTGCCCTTTTGGCCCCAAAATACTGCAGGTTTTTGGAGACAGACCATTTGCACATACGGAGGTTGGAGCAGCAGGGCCTAGGACCTGGACTTGCAAAAAGCTCCACTACAACTCTTGTCCTAAGATGTTCAAAAAACTGTATAAACACTCGCTGCTTAAGGAAAAAATATCTTCCAAGCTCTGAAAAACATAAGAGGAGGTCTGGTTCAAAACACTGCACTAAATTAGCAAACCTGACAATGAGATAAAAGCCCCTTCAAGGGAAGGGATCAGAAGAGAGTAAAATTACTCCAAGGGAGATCAAAGACAAATGAAATCAGGAATGTTAAGTGCTTACAGAAGCTGCTATTTCCAACCTCCATTCTTCACTGTATAGTGACAAATGGATACGACCCTGTTTAAACACACAGCCACACGTTCGTGCAGCCTCCTGCTCACCTTCACCCTCTTACCTGCCGGAGGTAATGCTGTAATGAATGTAGTGAAGACTACCCAGAACAGCCACCTGCCTCAAACAGCAAATACAGCCACTCAACTGACAGTGACATAACACAGAGGTGGGCTTCCGAGCCAGAAGCTAGAAGGCCTTTTCACACATCAGTTCAAGGCAGGTGTTTCAGTTACAAACCTGTGCTTTGGAGCCTGAGAGCTTTTTGCCTTTGGCTCCTCCTGCATGCAGTTTCAAGCTTCAAAGCCCGGCAGAACTTTAAATTTTCAGTTCATGGATCTCTAAATTGAGGCCAGCAAACCCTGTGCAGCACTGCCTTATGGTGGGCAACATCACATACACATTCAAAGCAGGCTTTTACATCACAGCACATAAACCCACCTGTCTACCACCTACCCAGAGACAGACCAATACAATTGAGAACGTCTCAAAATACTTCTCTGGGGGAAAAGGGGCCAAAAGCAGAGTGGTGAGTTGCAAGGGGAGAGGAACAGTGCTGTCTGTGCCCAACCAGTCCCAGGTAACCAGCCAGGTTCATATTAAACTCCATTAAAACTAGCAAACTGCTAAACTATTCCAAGACAGACAGTAACAGCTTTGAGATTATAAATCTATGTGCAAATACACACACGTAGATATATACCACATACACATGCATTCACATACACAGAGTTCTGGGGGAATGCATATATATTCAAACGTAGAACATGCCCCAGAATGGAGGGTCTTTGATGCAGCAAGTAAAAAGCATTTTGTTCCCATGAAAACTGTATTTTCTGACCCAGGCTCTGCAGGGGATTTTTACTCTCTCCCGTGTTGCTAACCCCTAGGCAACATTACACACAAAAACAGCCCAGGAGAAAAATGTTCTTTTTCTCCCATTTATTTCCTCACTTCCATCAGCCAGCCATCCACCTCCGGTGTCCAGGCCCAGTGAAGTAAATTAAAAAGTCTCCTGTTGAGTGGTATAAAAAACAGGGCGTTTTCGATGAACAAAGGTTGTAAAATCTTCAAGGCACAAAGCTGTCCTCTCCCCTCCATGGGAGCACAGCCCTGCCAGGAGCAGGCTTGATTCCAGATCCAAAGCAGGCATCTGAAAATCCACGTTAAACCAGCCAACGTCTCCCTTCCCAAATCACACATCTCAGTGTACAGCCAAAACTCACTCCTATTATTTTCCTCTCCCTGACATCAAATGGAGGCAAGAATAACCCAACTTACCACAGAGCAAAGGGGAAAAAAGAATGAATTCTCTTAGTTCTGTAATTTCAAAACTATAAATAACCAGGTGAAGTGTGAGCTAGCAACACAGCAAGGTTTGACAGATTCCTGACAGTGCAATTACTTGGTCAGAGGCAAGACCCTCAGAGCAGTGTTTTCACATCCAAGACACACAATACCCCAAGCCCATAGATCTGCTGGGAGCTTGCACTCCATGGCTGAGAACAGCACAAAACCCCACTTGTCTCCTTGTACATAGTGTTATTTCCCTTCCCTGGGATGTAACCACTTAAAACAAGAAGGAAAGACCTAAACAAGGGAGATGCTTGTTCTGGTGAAATTTTGGCTATCAGCAGTAAACATGTCCTTTAGCTCTGTTACACAGCACAAGCAAATAAAAGGTTACTGTTCAACACGAGACAAAATAGCTTTGTTCAGAGGAGGATCAGTTGTGGTTCAGTAATTACTTTAAAAACAAAACATAAAGGCATAAAAGGGATGCATTTCTGTGCACTGGCATATCTATGCTTTATATATATATATAGAGAGAGAGAGATAGATAGATATATATATATATACACAGCACCTAACACAGCTGATCCACAATCCCTGAGAAAGGTCCACGAACAAGCTCCCAAATGGCACATCACAACAAGGACACACAGCGCTGCCATGCTGGTTCAGTCAGCCAGCTCCAAATGCAGCCCTGCCATAAACTCAGCAGATAAATCCATCCCAGTTACACAGCACAGCTCAGGCTCTTCTCTGGCTGGTGTGAGGACATCTCCAACAGCTCCCCATCACCACCACAACCAAGCCACCACTGAAAGGGGCTGTTCCAAAGGCAGACAGAAAGGCCGTATATGGGGGAGATGCACTATCTCCTCTTCAACAAACTGATTCAGCTGAGGCAAATCAAAGAGATTTAGGCGCATACAAGATCCCAAGGCACAATCATTCCTACAAACCTCAGCCCATTCCTACAAATGCCCAGCCCGGCAATTACAAGGCTTAGACCTTCACTTCAAGGCAGGGGAGGCCCATCTTTAGCACAGCTGAGTGAGGCCCCAGGATCAACTCAAGGACAGGACCAAACCCAAAGCAGCTAAACCACTGACAGCTTCCAGCGCCTTCACACGAAAACCCTCAAACACTTCCAGCCCAAAACAAATAAAGTTGCACCGAGCCAGACAGGACTCATTACAGCACAGGCCTTGGGAGATTAATACTTCACAGAGAGCAAAGTACAAGGGTTTCTAATCTGACACACTTCCAGAGCTGACATCACTTCTAGTTCTTGGCAGCCAGAGATTTTCCTGGGGAGCCGCTGTTGTGCTGCAGGTCCCACAGCCTGGAGCCTGGCCAGCGCGTTTCCTATTCCACACACATCTGGCACTTTGGAACTGGCTTGTGCACCTTGCAGAGCTCCAGCCAAAGAAAACCTTCCCGGGAGCAAGAAAAGCATCTCAGGCAAGGCGAGCAGAGTGCTTGGCCATCGTGTGTGTTCTGCGGGATATGAGACAGTAAGAGGAAAGGGCTCCTCTCTCCCCTCCACATCCCACAGGAGGTGGCAGGAATTCAAACTGCAGTTGGGCCTCTGCACTGTCGTCTGTCTTAATTTATGTATTTATTTTGGATGCTGAACTCGTGGAACTCAACAGCACAATTAATCTCATTTAATCAGGAGTGAACAGCACTGAAGTGGAGTTACTACTTCCAAAGGGTTTTCCTACCTCTCAGCAAGCCAACTACTGTGCCATTGTTCTGCTTAATGTAACCTTCTGCTGATGCTCTTCAGACAATCTCAGAGCTGTAGAAAAATCTTTACGTTCTCATTGTCTCATTCAAAGAGCTACCATACTTCAGTGTGTCCCCA